CTACACTTACCAGATATGGATTTTCGGCAGTCCCCCTTTTCTCTGCTACCGGTATCGGTGCGTGGTCAAGTATCAGGTGTATTCTCAACATCATCTGCAGCGGTGGGGTGGCTGAAGCGTTCATCATCTGTATTCAAGAGATACCAGGCATTAGTGGATCAACCACCAGCGGATATACCAGATTCTCTGGTGTTGATAAGGATTCCCTCATATTGAATGACCGGAATGGGTTAGATGACTCCTTGGTGGAGTACTTAAAGACGACTGGTATATCGCCAACAGAGTTGCGTGCATGTATCCATTTTGGTATGGATCATCGTGAGCGGGTGCGAATGTTGACTAAATGGGAAGTTACAAATGCGCAATTCCCTTTGGATGAGGACTACGTGTAGTACGATAAGGCTGTATCTTGAACAGGCAGGACTGCTTCTCTTGTATGTTATGAACAGTTAAGTTTACGCGATAGGCACACACGGGGTAAGCAGTGTCTTAACCGTGCATGGGTGGCCATCAGCACATATGGTGTGTGTAGTTACGCCGATTGTTATATTAAAATCTACTTAGACTTTGTCACTTGTGTTTTCATACCTTGTTCTTGTGGTGTGACGCGCAGTTCCTGCGAAGCTGCCCTTGGGCTATGTACTGTCGGATCTGGGCTATAATTCGTGCTTGTTGGATACTTGTTGCTCGAGGTATGTTGAATTGCCCTACTGAGGCATCACATCCGCTGTCATAATCGTTCTCCTCAATATAGCTGTCGTCACTGTCGCTCAAGAGGGCAGGTCTGTGTAGGGATAATATTATTTATTTCAAAAATGGCAAGTATATATGATACAATGTATGAACGTATGGTATGGCTCTCATAGTCGCTGTAGTGGTTCAGGAAAGATTGATGGGAAGAAGTGGTCAGTAAATTCTGTACTGTCATCACTGTCATTAGTGACGTGCGTGGCCTTTTGTTTTTAAAAACCCCCCCCCAAAAAAGATGGCCCTCTGGATTATTCATACTTTAGGGTCGCGAGCAGAAATCGGGTGTCGTATCGGAAATAAACAGTAAAATTTAAAATTTAGCAGTGACCCAAATATTTAGTGGCAAATCCAGAGGCCCGCCATGACAAAAAACAGTTTAAGAAAAAAAAAACAAGAGGGCAATCGATGAGTCATTCTGGTATGCATATGATATGTATGTATGAATTTATAAACATTTTCTTCAAGAAAAAGTAAGCCTAAAATCTGCCGGGCTCGCCCCCAAATTCAAAACACAGGCCCCGAGGTCCCCCCGATCGGCGATCGGTGATGATGACACCATCAGATGATCCGAGCCAGGCAACACTCATCAGCCATCAATCAGGTCTTGTGGTAAAAGTTGAATCCCCTCTCTTTAAAAAAATTATTTAATCAAATGCACGGGATGTTGTAATAAGCTTTCATGAAGCATGAACTTCTCTCACCCTGTACACCTCTGCAAGCTTACATCGTAGATGTACATCTGTAGTATGATTTGGAATACAGCAACTGCAGCCATAGTTGGCTCTCTTCTATCACGTACGGTAGTTCAGGCGCGAGCCGACACAACGCCTTTGTCCCTTTGTTCACCTAGGCAGAGCGATGGCACAGCCGTAATTGACAGTTTTGGGATGAAGTATGACCTCTCTCCCTTAAAAAAAGAGGGTGCGGATCCTCCCTGGGAAGCTAGAGATCAGAGGGAGGACAATAAATCTAAGTACTTAGTGAATGTCTGCGAATTTATTGAGACAATCAGCTCGGCGAGAGTCAGGAACGCTGCAGTATGGCAGACTGGTGCTGATGGTTCCGGAGAGGTATGTATATAGTGACACTGATGCGGGATCTCCTATTTTGCATGGCAAATTAGTTTACGCATATATACGTCGGTAATTTTTCTTATCGCTTAAAGATCAATCACCGCGTGGGAAGCACCAAACCTGACAGCTGTCTGTAGGATGTAGCTTATGACTGAAAGCAGACATGCCCATAGATATACAATATTGGCGGAAAATTATAATATTTACACATTGCTTCTAACTATGTTGTAGTTTCAGTCAAATAAGCGTGTAATATATATA